CTATACACACGAATCCGAGGGTGAGCTACCCTTGCTCGCCTTCCAAGACAATCCCCGAAACCTACGAAAAACGAGGATGCCTGACCAATTTCGAGCCTTACCGGGCCTTATAATCATGAGCAAGTAAGACTTAACGCCAACTTCTTTAAAATGTGTTTTCTTCTGGTTTCCAGGTGTTCAACCGGTTAAAGGAGGAGGTGCCTAAGTTCAGACATAAGGTGGTTGTGGTGCCAGCTGACTGTGAGGCCGCTGGACTTGGCCTCACGTTGACAGACAGACAGATGCTCACTGAAAAGGTAGATATATAATATTAAGATGTAATAGAATCATGACTGCGTGTTTTACGCAGTTGCTGGGCAGTCGGCAAATAATGACAATACTAAATTCTTTTTTAATGTATTAACGAATTATTCACGTGAATTTAACTGAGAATAGCTCGACAAGTTTCAAGCCACAACGGGACTCTTATTCATGAGCAGCGTTCGCGTCGCGAATTTAGTTCTTACGTCTCACAATAGTTACTAGACCTTGCTTAAGAATCCAACCTTCAAATAAATGTACTGACAAATCCGTCTTCTTAAATTACAGGTAAACATAATATTCCACTCGGCTGCCACGGTCAAGTTTGATGAGCACCTCCGAGCAGCGTTGGTGACCAATGTCATGGCTCCACTACACCTCCTCCGGCTGGCCAGGGACGTGAAGAAGTTGGATGTGAGTAGAAATAAGAATTACTAGCTTCAACTCCCAGCTTCGCTCGCGTGGTATGTTGATAAAAAACAGTGTTGTTAATCCAGGGTATGACGTATGTTCATACCAAATCAATCCAGACGTTTTCGCGTGAAAGAAAACAAGTATACATGCATTTCATTCATATTTAATTATTAGTAGGGTTAATGTCAAGACAGAAGGAAACTTGTGGTGCCTTTTTTTGATGGTGGATAGTCATCTAATGATGTCTCTCGCTCTGGGCGGAGCGCGAGAGAGTTTCAGACTCTTGCTGACTAAAAACCACCCCGTTCTTTCTCCTGCTGCTGCGATATATAGGGACAAGCGATTATTTCGCTCCAATCTGACAATATCAAACACCTTTAAGTAAAGACCGTAGTCTTTCTTAAAAGACCGGCAAAAGACCTATACATTATTTCGGGTGTTTTAAAAAACTAGAGGCGCTAATCACTTACCGTCAGGTGATCCGACCGCTCCACCTAACCTTCTATTCCAAAAAAAAACCCTGGACGGAACTGGGTTTTTGACTGAATATTCATCCAGCGAATGTCGAAAAACTTTAAAAATATGTTTGTTTATCCTGGTCTTTTCCCTAAGCAAATGATAGGAACAGTCATTATAGCAAGAGGAGCTCCTACAAATGTTGCATTTAACTGGACAGCACAATTGGCGTAGTGGCTGGGCATCTGCCATGGGTCGTCGCTTCGTTTCTCGCACGGAATAATTGTACCACTAATAGTTGTTCCGTGTCTAAATGTGTGTGCCTTCTTGAGTGATGTCTTAAAGTATCTTAGGAAGTACATATAACTCGGAAAATGTCACATTGGTACTTGTCAGGTTTGGAACCTCTCAGGTCTTAACCTTCGGACCATCAAACCATGCGAAAGGAACATTATCAGAAATCTTCGTTCTCAAGAATTTTTTCATATTTAAGTGTTAATAAAAAAGAAACCTTTTTTTCAGGTATTAATGCACATATCGACAGCGTACTCCAACTCTCACCTCCCCATGATAGAGGAAAGGTTCTATCCTTGCGAAGCTGACTGCGAGCAACTACATCAAATGGTTGACAAGTTGACAGATGATCAGCTCAATATCATGTTGCCTAAGTAAGTCCATTTTATGACCATTTCTTATGATGATGAAGAATGAAACCTTACATGATAAAGACTAAGGGGTTTGGGATTTTAACTAACTAAAACTCTACTATCAGAACCTGTAAGAGACTCCTAGTTCTCTTAATAGACCAGCTCCCGGCGCTCGTCTCGTGCAACGCCTGCTACGCACATCCGTAAAAAGACCCTGTCATTCTAGAAGACCTTATATATCGGTCGCTTTCTTAGAAAATACTCCTATTCAAAAACATTAGTGGTCAAAGAAATATCGAATGAGGGTCATGTTTCGACACCAGAGCGACCACAGCCTCATGTAAACCGGCGTGAACAGTGAAACAACGTTTCTGTTGCGTGAAACGAGTAAGGTTGCTTTAAAGTTTGCAAGGTTATGGGTCAAAAGCAAGCAACACCCTTTGTAACTTTTCTAGGAATGGTACTGATTGCTTACCATCAGCTTTTTTATGTGATACATTGTGGACTATAAACGGGCAGACGGTTTACCTGATGATAAGCAATGGGCGCCGCCCATGGACATACTACAGGAGTTACGAGTGCGTTGCTGGTCTTTTGGGGATTTAGTGACTGGGGAGGGATTGGGAGAAAAGATAAAGCGCCTGGTAACCTCTCTCTCATGACAAAACATAGAGATATAGTTATTGTACACGCCGGTTTTTAATGAGGCCATAGTATCACTCCGGTTGAGCCAACGCATTCGTGCCAAAGCATGGCTCTGCCGCACTTTAAGGCTGGTGGTAAAATTATTTATTTTGGATATTTTCTTTTATTTTACAGAATATTAGGACCTTGGCCCAATACATATACCTTTACAAAGGCGTTAGCGGAGAAGGAGCTACGGGCGAGTGCGGGAGGCATGCCTATAGGTATTTTTAGACCAGCTATAGGTGAGTCTAAACGGTTGTTAAGCCGTTTTTAATTATTTATATATTTCTTTCTTTCTTATAGAAACTTTTTATTCACACTTCAGCTGTTCTATTTTGCACTACAAGACTTAGAAATAGGTTTGGGAAAAGTCTTTTCACATTCTCGTATGTATGAGCTTGTAATAAAATCTCATTGGTCATTATTCTATTTGTGTCTGGCTGATTTTGGTATCATTCAAAATTTTGTTTATGGTACAGGTCGGCAACGAGCTTTCGGATTTTCTGATAGTAAGCAATCGGCGCCCCCCATGGACATCCGCTATCCAAGGAGTTACGAGTCTTGCGTTGCCGGCCTTTTGGGGATGAGGGTTTCGGATATTTAAGGATTAGGGAAGGGAGCACACGGCGAAACACAACGCTGCGGTTGTTTCGCCGAATTTTGTTGCCCGCCGGTTTTCAGTGAGGCCGTGGTATTACTACGGTCAAGCCGACCCATTCATGTCAAAGCTTGGCTCTCCCATACTTTTGAATTCTAAAGAACATAATTCCAAATTTAAATTGGGAAATCCTCAAATCCCTTATAATTAATAAGAGGCCGGCAACGCACTTGTTGTAACTCCTTTGATATTACGTGTGTCCATGGGCGGCGCTGATTGCTTACCATCAGGTAATCCGCCTGCTCGTCCGCCGAACTATAACAGAAATAAAAAGGAAAATGTGTGATTTTCATTTGTTTTGCGTACTGTCAAGATGATTAAATATAATGAAGAACTTCTATAATATTAAGTATAGTGTAATAATACCTCTATAGTTTTCTTTGGGTTACTATAGAAAGTTGTAAAGTGTAGTAAGTTATATAAATAAAGAGGTAAAATTTCTAAGTTTGTATGTAGGGGGTAATCTTTGGAACCACTGGTCGTATTTCCAAAATTCTTTCACTGATAGATAGCTACAATGTTCCTGAGTGCTATAGGCTATAAAACATCACGCTACGATCAAATGAAACCGCGCGAGAGTAGCTAGTCCCTTATATTTTTATTTCTTTATTACTTCTCTTTCTATCATGCTCTTCATAGATAACTTCACGGAAAAGTTATTGTTTTTTATAGAAGAATAAAGTGGTTACATTATTATACTGCACTAGTTTCCGCCCGCGGCTTCGTCCGCGTGGTATGTTGATAAAAAGAAGCCTAAGCAGTCTGTGGTGGAGGGTGCGGTTACAAACATACAATTTCACATACACATGACACCCAGACCCGGAACAATAATTTGTGGATCACACAAAGAGTTGTTCCGTGCGGGAATCGAACCCGCGACACGTTGCACGGCAGCCAGTTGCCCAGCCACCGCACCAACCGTGCATTCTCAAATTGTAGATTCAAATGGAAAAGAACGAGCTAGAAACACCACGGTTACTCTTTTATTTTTTTAAAGTTTTAGATCAGGATATTACTTATCTACATACCAAATCGGATAAGCTGTTTTTTTTTATTTTTGTAGGATTTGGCTCCGTCGCAAAGCCTTGATCGTCAAGATGAAACCTTTTTGAATATTCAAGACTATTCTATTAATATTTTCTTTCGATATGTTTCAGTTATATCTACAGCGAAAGAGCCACTGAAGGGGTGGTTGGATAACATGTATGGACCGACAGGAGTCGCAGTTGGCAGTGGTAAGTTTTTATAACGATTTATAAGTATCACTTACAAACTGACATACAATAATCCTAGTAACTGTTGAGCAAAGCGTCTTCTCACACGGAGAAGGTTTGAGCATTAATTGCCACGCTTTCTCAAGGAGGATTGGCGATTTCAACCTTATAATTAGAAGATTGGTTCATGTTTTCTTGCGATCTTAGAATAAATATACTCTTTTAATTTTTTCTGTTTCCTAGGTAAAAAAATCGCCGTTTTAATACAGTATAATATAGAAAAATAAGTATACTTTTATTCATCGATCTGTCGGAGAAAATTATCGATTATGGTTATATATATTTGGTTAAAAGTATTGAATTTGACTAGATGGAAACTACTGTATTAGGCTTCATACTAGTCAGTATATTTTATATTTTGTCAATTTTGATCATTGAAATCAATTTTTCTTCCTAAGTATTTAAATAATAACTTCTTAGCTATGATCCTTGAGATAACTCACATTAGGTGATTCGCTCGCTTGATCCGAACACCTCAAAAATGTACATCAATTTCTTTCCTTATTCCAGCCACGGGCATCTTAAGGACTGTGCAATGTGACAAGATGGTGTCAGCGGATATTGTTCCAGTGGATTCAGTGGTCAACTGCCTCATGGTAGCAGCTTGCAGCGTACACAATGCTTACAGAAGAAGGTACTTAATACCATCAATAAATTTCATCTCTGTTTTTTTATGGTATAAGTCGGCAAACGAGCAGACGGATTACCTGATGGTAAGCAATTAGCGCCACCCATGGACACCCGCAACGGAGGAGTTACAAGTGCGTTGCCGACCTTTTAGGGATTAGGGAATTGGAGATTTAGGGATTGAGGAGGGATTGGGGGAGGGGAAGGATTGAGCCTCCTGTAACCTCACTCACACAGCGAAACACAATGCTGTGGTTGTTTCACGACGGTTTTCTGTGAGGCCGTGGTATCACTCTGGTCGAGCCGACCCATTCATGCCATAGCATGGCTCTGCCACACTTGAAACGTTACGTCACGACACGTACGCTCTTGCGTTTTTTTACGCTGAGAAGGAGTGTCAGACTGTTAATAAGTAACCCCATTCCTTTTCCTGCTCCAGAAAATAATGAATTTTTATTTCCTTCCCAGTTCACCACCGCTAGAACCTCCGATCTTCAACTATGTCAGTTCAGTGGAGAACAGGATCACTTGGGGCGACTTCTTATCGAAGAACATGGCATGGATCCACCATTATCCATTCTCTGATGCTGTTTGGTGAGTATAAGACCTACAAACCTTCAAGAAACGAGTGTAGTCCTTATTTAAAGGCCGATAACGCGCCTGTGACTCCTCAAGTGTTGTCCATGGGCGGCGCTGATCACTTACCATCAGGTTCATCCTTTTGGCGGTTGGCGGCACGGCGCGTTGGCTGGTCAACTAGCTGCAGCGCAACGTGTCGCGGGTTCGATTCCCGCACGAACAACTGGTTGTGTGATCCACAAATTGTTGATCCGGGTCTGGGTGTGATGTGTATGTGAAATTGTATGTTTGTAAACGCACCTACGACACAGGAGAAAATCCTAGAGTGTGGTGCAAAGTTTTATAAAAAAAAACCTAAAGTTGTCAAAAAAATACTTAGAATGAAAAGATAGTATATAGGTACTTAGCACATATTATAAAAATAGCCTTTATTCAACCACAAAAACATGCTCACAACATTACAATTGTATTCTAATCAGTATTTATTTCATTTGTTTAATTTCATATATTTATCTATATATATAATTTTCATTTAATTATTTATTAATTTTAAATATTATCTCTAAAATAGGCAACTAATCTTTTGTGGATGTCGCCTCTTTGGCGTAGGCCTCCCCCAGCTTCCTCCATTCGTCTCTATCTCGTGCTTTCCTTCTCCAGTCTGGACCCACTCTCTCTCTGAATATATCTTCCCATCGCTTTCTCGGTCTACCTCTTCCTCTTTGTGTTCCCCTTGGTGTCCATTCTGTTAACTTCACAGTCCATCTGTTGTCTGCCATTCTACATACGTGACCTGCCCATGTCCATTTGATAGTTCTTATCTTTTGAAGTATGTCGGTTACTTGCGTTATTTTCCTTACTGTTTCATTTTTAATTTTGTCTGATATTTTGATACCCATCATACTTCTCTCCATTTTCCTTTGATGTATGGCTAATTTATGTTCATCTTTTTTGCGCAGTGACCATGTTTGACAACCGTATGTAAGGCAGGGCAGTATAACTATGTCGTGCAGCTTACTCTTAATTTTTATGTCAATGTCTTTGTTTTTCATTATTTCCTTTAACATCCAATGTTTTTTCCAAGCTATTGCAATTCGTCTATTTATTTCTTTTTCGGTATGATCATTGAATGAAATAGATTGGCCTAGGTAAATATACTCTGACACGTACTCAATGGCTTCTCCGTGTACCTTAACAACTTCGTTTTTTCCATTTGTAATTATTTTTGTTTTTGAAGTATTCAGCGACAACCCAACCTTTTTACTTTCTCTCGCCAGATCGTTAATCATTTTTTCTAACTGTATACTATTTTCTGAAAGTATTGCAATATCGTCCGCGAACCTCAAGTGATTTAAATATTCTCCGTCTATTTTTATTCCTAGTCTTTCCCAATTAATATTTCTAAACACTGTCTCCAAAACCGCAGAAAATATTTTGGGAGAGAGTGGGTCACCCTGTCTAACTCCTTTCTTTATTGGAAATTCTTCTCCATCCCTCTCTAGTCGTATTTTAGATGAACTATGTGAGTAGATACTGTATAAAAGCTCTATGTATTCGATGTCTACGTTTTGCTCTACCAGTGCTTTCCAGATCGCGCCATACTCCAAGGAATCAAAAGCTTTGGCAAAGTCTATAAAGCAGATATACACAGTCCTTCCATATTCGTTGCTTTTTTTCTATAAGTTGTGTAACTTAGCACATATTATAATTATCATAATTATTTTAATTTAATTTAAAAAAATGTTTCACATCAACTACCCGTTCATGACCATGACATGACTAATGTCTATTAAGTAAGTTTGATACAGATATTTTCCTACGCGAAAATTTATTCAAGTCTATCTTTGTTTCATGTAATATAATAATTATTATAAAGCTGTCGAGTTTGTTTGTTTGTTTGTTTGAACGCGCTGATCTCCGCAACTGCAGGCCAAAACGGCGGGACGGATCTAGATAAAGTTTAGCGCAGGCATAGGATAAATTCCGGAATAGGACATAGGCTACTTTTTATCAACTAGTTAAGTAATCAATAATATTTCTTTTTCAGGTTCATATCAGTAAGGCTAACTAAATCGGCTGCTGTTAATAAGATATACATGTTCTTCTTGCACCTAATACCGGCCACGTTGGTCGATGGGCTGGCCGTCTGCTTGGGGAGAAAGCCAAAGTGAGTATTCATTATTGTTCATTTATAACTTTAATATCACATACAGAAATGTGGGCGAGCCATGCTTTGGCACAAATGGGCCGGCTCGACTGGATTTATATCACTGCCTCACAAAAAACAGCATTTACGTTGTGTTTCGACGTGTGAGTGAGGTCATTGGAGACCCAATCCCACTCTTATTCCAAATCCCGAAATCTCCTAAAATGCTCGAATCCCGAATCCAGAAATGCCTGTAATGCACTTGACACTTCTTCGGTGTTATGAGTATACATAGGCGGCGCCGATTGCTTACTAATCAGGATGGATGATCGGATGATCAGTCTGCTAGTATAACCATCCATACTGTAAAAAAATTCCTTGGGTAAAAACAGAGGAAGATTGAACAGAGAGAGAGAACAGAGTTCTTGAGGGATTGCAGTTACATATAGGTATTATAGGATACTACCCACATATATGTAACTGCAATCCCTACAAATGATATACATAGGTATTATGTTAATAAATATAATAATGTCTAGTTTGACGTAAAAATATTATAGCCTATTCTAAGATTTAAAACTGAAGCCTTCTATATTAGAATAGGCGGCGACATTATCGTATTAGATTTAGTTTCAAATACTTATGTATTAATTTAATATATATTAAATACTTTAACATTTTGATTTTGTAAGACGTTTTGATGGCCACATTAATTAAATGTGTTTATTTCTGTGACAACAGTATTTGTGAATTAAAAAAAATAGATTAGGTACAGCAGTTTTTATGTAGTTCTTCTCCTTGCTTCTTTACTTAAAACTCGACTCTATAATCGATATTTTAAATCAAATTCACAATTGTTTCAGGATGCTAAAAGTATACCGTAAGATACACAAGTTTTCATCGGTCCTGTCATATTTCTGTACGAGGGAAATCAAATTCTGCAACAGTCGGACGAGGGAACTGTGGGAGAAGACTTCTGAGGCCGATAAGAAGGTAACCCTATGCCTATTTTCTTACAATAATAGCTATCGTGCTATGTGACATAGATAATAATTGGATTCAGATATATAATACTGTTTGAAAGTGCTCTACTTTTTTTTGTCAGGAAAAAATACAAATTTTTGCTTAAGCCTAGGGTAAGGCGAGAGAGTGTGTCAAACCCGCCCGTTCCTTCTCCTGTTCTGAGTTAAGGCGGTCGCCTAGCCTCATTGCGCTTGCCCCGTAACCCTGGCTGAACATCAGCCCTATGGGGCCCCGTCCAATGGTGGTCTATTGGCTCTTTGAGGCGCGCGCGAAATGTTACGCGCCGTACGCCCGGGTCTGGTCCTGGTCGGGCGGCGAGCTACACTTACTCGCCGTCTGCAGACCCGCGCTTACGGTGGCCACAACTTTCCAACTAGCACCGAGGCTCGAAACAATCTTGTCATTGATCGTGGTTAAAACTCGGAATAATTGTCATAGGACAAACATCGATGAGTGAAAGAATAAAAAAAAAACTTTGTATGATGTTTGTTTTGTTAAAATGATCTTTAATTCTCTATTGCTAGCGGCGCTGTTTGCTTACCATCAGGTCATTTGATTACCTCCGTTTGTGTTTCTGTGAACTGCCCACCAAAAAGGTATTATCACTGAATACGTCACGATTTTAAAATAAGCCAAATGCAATTTTCCGTCTGGCTATTTGATTACTCTATGAAGATATCGGTATTTTTTGCAGTTTTGAGTGTGCTAGTCCTTTAACCGTAGTGGCTTATTGAAAAAAGGGTCTGAGGGTACTGTAGAGTCTCATCATCATCAGCGCAAAAGTGCCCACTGCTGAGCAAAGGCCTCTTCTCACACGGAGTAGGTTTGAGCATTAATCACCACGTTGCTCAATGCGGGTTGGCGATTTCAAACTTATAATAAGTAATTATAAGTCCATGTTTCCTCACGATGTTTTCCTTCAGCGTATGTCAGTGGTGTCTAAATAATGATAGAAAGTACATTTAACTCGAAAAAAGTCACATTGGTACTTGCCAGGTTTGGAGCCCACACCCTCATGCATGAGAAGCGGGCTCCTTAACCTCTGGGCCACCTCGATGTAGAGTCGACGTACGACTATAGAGTCTTATATTTTTTAAAGTAGGTTAATACCATTGTGGTTCAATAAAATTATGTGAACGCTGACCTTGACCTGGATTTTAGACTTAGGAGCTTTACTTACAGCTGTAATTTCAGGTATTATGTAAGTTTTGAAAGTAATTGGTCGACAAAGAGTTATGTAGCCACTTTTATGTTATTACACGAGTGAGACATAATAAATTAATTATTTTCTTAACGGATTAGTCAAGTTTATGTTTTACGAGGAATCCCGACTAGTTTCAAGTCACGTTAGGGGCTTATATTCATATTATTCATGACGCTATGCTGTCTATACCTAAATCATCAACATGATCCGCTTATAAGTGTCCATTGCTGAGCAAAGGACTCTTTTAAAACGAAAAAGACGCTCGGACTCGGCGGCAAGCAAGTATTTGGTAAATCTTATCAATCCAGATCTCCTTGTGATATAATCGACTTGTGATATAATTGACTGCACGGTTGGTGCGGTGGCTGGGCAACTGGCTGCTGTGCAACGTGTCGCGGGTTCGATTTTAACAACACTTTGTGTGATCCACAAATTGTTGTTTCGGGTCTGGGTGTCATGTGTATGTGACATTGTATGTTTGTAAACGCACCCACAACACATCAGAAAATACTAAAGTGGGGCAAGGTTTTTTTTTAATAAAAAATCCTTTACCGTAACTTCCTGTCTCTATCTAATCTAATAGAACTCTAAAAAATACGATTCAGGTATACTTATCTATCCGGGTCTGCGGTTTCCTTTCGACTCATCTTGGATGAGATAAGTCATTAGATGATATATGATGATGATGATAGTCCTTCCAAGTTCAAAAATATATCAATTCAATATATTTTTCCAGATATATCCATTCAGCATGAGCGATTTGAACTGGGAGGAGTATTTCCGCGACTACCTCGCGGGGATCAGGAGGTATTTGTTCAAGGAGAGCGATGACACATTACCTCAAGCCAGGATTAAGTGGAAAAGGTAATTTCAATTCTAAGTATAAATGTATAATAAGTATTGCGAAAAAAAAAGTAAAGTTTTTAATTCATTAAAACCTAAACAAATTAAAGTTTATAAATATAAATAAATATTGTATCCTATATTCTTCTAAATCTAAAGTATATCCCCACCAATTTTCAACGAAATCGGTTCAGCCATTCTTGAGTTATAGATGGTGTAACGGATACGACTTCCTTTTACCCGACTACGGAAGAACAAAAGGATGGTAGTTACACGTTGTCAAAGTGTTACAGTAGGTATATATAACGTGTGACTACGCCTTTCAGTATTCTGGAAATCTTGTTGTATACTTTTTCAGTGTAGTTTTTTGTCGTAGTTGGGTTTTAGTTTTTATATTATACTAGCAGCTCGCCCCTGCTTCGCACGTACGGGTCTCATCATCACGCTTACGATGAAAGGGTCCCTATTATCCAACTCTCCCCTCTACTTTTCGAAAATTTTCTTTCATAAGAACCTTCTCCTGAAAATAACTCACATAACAAAAAAAATATCAGTAGATTTGGTCCAGGCGTTATTGAGTCATGCGCTTACCAACAATTTTTGCGATTCATTTTTATTTAATTATATAGATTAGTTATTAAATATATAGGTTATATAATACAGTTCCTTGAGGACGGTCTTAAGATGTATTTATTAAAACCTTTTTAAAGGAAACGCTAATTATAATCTTTTGTTTCAGACTTTACTATCTGCACCAGATAACAAGGTTTATTTTCTTCATCCTGGCTGTTTACGCTTTATGGTGGATATTATCATTATTGTGGTGAATACATTTGTAATATTATATTGTACAGTTCGTGTAAAGAAACGTGATTTTAATAATATATGTACTTATATGTAATTAGTGAAAACATAAGAATTTGGTATGCAAGTAAGATAATAAATGTTTAGTATGGAGACAGTTTAAGCAGTGGATTTTAAAAGTGAAGTTTTATGCCAATATTTTGCCGCTAGGATCGCTAGTGTAGCGAATGGTCACTTGTCTAATATATTTTTAATGAGACGAGCCTGTCAGAATTTGCTAAAACCGCTGCTTCTGTAAGTCAGGATCCGCAGTAGATACAACCCTGAAACCCCAACACACTGAAGTCCGAGGGATAGGATTAAGTGTCTTGTATTTCGCGACCAAATAATATTAGGGACTTAGGTATAATGTCCACCTGGCAAGTACCAATGTGATGTTATTCAAGTTATATGTACTTTCTATGATTATTTAGACACCACGATATGATATACGGTGAAGTGAAATATCGTGAGAAAACCTGGACTTATAATTTATAATTACATGTTTGAAACCGCCTTGAGCAAGCGTGGTGATTAATGCTCAAACCTTTCTCCGTGTGAGAAGAGGTCTTTGCTCTGCAGTGGACACTAATAGGCTGATGATGACGATGATTACTTAGTGTAACAATAACTACCTACTGTAACTATACTAAATCAATGTTTATTACCTTCCTTGCATACCAATTAACTAAGCTGACTGTATGGTAGGTTGACCTGTGTTTGAGACCATGTAAGACTTAGAAATATGGATTGACAGCTTGCTTAGAATTGGCCTTGTGTTCTGGCCCATTTAAAATATCTCAAAATGTTAAAACTGTTGTTTAATACTTACGCATTTTCAAATTACGTTTTTCGAGGTAACACGTCTGCTTTCAAGATATAATAGGGGCTCATACGCTTGAGCGATAAATGACGCGGCGTATGACCCGCAGTCAATTGTTTATTTCTTGTGTGAAACAACTTACAGAAAAGACTAAATCGTTTTATATGTACACTGTATAAAAGTAAATAAATCAATAAAAACTGAATAAGTTTTCATAAAAATGTAAGACATAAAACAATATGAGCGAGATTTTAAACTTGAGAAAGCCGGGCTCGTTCCAATCCTGTCAAATATATTTTGAACTTTTGAAAGGGCTTTTTAGTAAGCACTTAGTATGGAATTCAAAAGTTTGGAGAGGTAGGAAAACGTCCAAAAGTAATCATCTTTTGCCTAATGATTACAAAGACAAGAAATCTTCCTTTTAAAGAATGACATGGTCTCTAATACCTACAGGTGTAAAATTAATATATTTTATAAATAACAATTATATGTAGGTCAAGAAAGATGTAAAATGTCTGTGAACAAACCATAAAGGTAAGACTACATCTATAAGCAAGCAAGAGCACTTTTCTGTGCATTAGCTAAACGACTTTTTACTGTCACTCAGAACTGTCAGTGAATAGAATTATATAGATAATAAAGGGCGGGAGTGTGACAGATAATTGGGTAGTTTTCTTAGTCAAAATTAATTTTTTTCGACGATTCAATACAATAAAATATTGAAAAATAAATATAGGTACTTTTGTTCTTTTATCTGTCGATATATCAAAATTTTCGATATTTTCTAGCATGTTCTTAAGAAATAAGTATGCTAATTGACGCTAAAATACCTACTATAATGTCGTTACTTGCGATTTCATAAAAAAATTATAGTAGAGTATAGTGTTTGACATTTGGATAAAAGTATTGAATTTGATAGTTGGAAACTACCGTATAACTTTCGAATACCGTATAATTAGATATCGATCGATAATTAGTCAATGCTAAACGATTTTTTCCGAGGTTTTTAATTGTGACGTGAAATTAGCTATCGAATATTAAATGTTTATATAGATATCGTTTATTTTAATAGCAATGTGTTTTCGTCCTGTATCGTGGTTGAGTTTACTAACTAAAGTTTGACTGGTATGTGTCAGTCAGTCCGTCTGTCCTCTAGTGAAGCTATATTTTGCTCGTTGAAAATTTCACTGACAATTTGAAAGAATTTATTTAATGCGTAGTACTTACCCAAGAAAGTCGGGAAACGAATTGTTGATACGTAGTCCATATCCTTATGGTTTGTTAAGAGACATTTTAAAATTTAGATCTATACAAATTTTACATTTTTTGTAAAACCAAATTTTTTTGTAATTAGATAGGATTTAATTAATAATAGTTAAACAGTAAGAATAATAATTAAAAATAAACTTTAATAATAGTTATATGGTAGGTTAAAAAAGACAAAATATGTTACCAAAACCTATATTTTTAGAAATATATGTATGTATCTATACCTACTTTAAATTTAGACGAAGGTGATATTTTAAGAGTTCATTGTCCGAAAATGTATAAGTATGTAAAATAAATAAATAAATGAATCTAATAATTATATGGAACAAATTTTCTTTAAAATCTAAATCTACCCATTTTTTTATCAGGGGAAAATCATCAAATGGCTTCTCCCGCCCAGGGTATGGCAATAGAGTGTCAGACTCTTACTGACTTAAATGCCCCCGTTTCTTCTTCTGCTCTAGGCCGAGGCTGCGGTGCCTCATTGCACTTGTCCCGCAACCCCGGCTAAACATCCGCCCTGTAGGGTCTGTGGTGGTCTATTGGCTCTTAGAGGCGCGCGCGGAACGCTCGAGTTTGGTTCTGGTCCGGCGGCGAGCTACCTTTACTTACCGTCCAGACATCCCGATTACGGTGGCCGATTACTGCGGCGACTGTGGAAAACTATATCAAACGACTGAGGTAGGCTCAGAAGATCGCGCGACTAATTAGAGCCCTTCAACAAGGATTGGTCGCAGAAAGCTTTGTGCTGAGTGGAGTGGAAAAAGGGTAGGATGGCCTCTTTAATTTTTTTAGAATGTTTCAAATGTTCTCTCTCTCTGGTTGTTGCTAGAGGGCGTGTCAGACTCTTACTGACTAAAACACATCCCGTTCTCTCCTTTTTCTGTTCCAGGCCAAGGCCTTTGCCTTGCAGTGAGATGACAACGGCTAATTGTATTTAAACTTCCCATCACACACATAGCTCCCCTATTGTAAATATCATTCCTAGACATTTAAAATATTTTTGTCGGATTACCATACAAATTTCCAATCCAAAATGATGTGAAATCATGAAGTAAATAATTGAATGACTTCAAACAAAAACGTACCGATGCTTGCTCCACTGGATAGTTACTTCAAGTGTAGACTACTAAACCAATTTTAATTAAACTGAATTCCTGCTCATACTCAACATATTTTTTCGAAGAATCAATACGTTTTTTTGAAGTTTGTGTGGAAACAAAATTATCTCCTAGTCTCCGTAGGTACATTTAATATTCTTCTGACACCTTGTTGCTGAATAAAAGACTTGGATGTTAGTTTACTTGAGTTTTATTTGCCTTGCCAGATACGTCGCATCAGTCATAGTGTGACCTCCTGTTATAGTTTGGAAGTAATCGAGTTTGAGTACTTTATAAAACCTTTAGGAAAATAAAGACAATCAACAAATGTATAGAAAAAAAACAACAATTGTTTTCATAATTTTATTTATTCAAACAAAAAATAACTGCCATTATTAATTATTATACACTGATACGAAACTAAAATCAAGATTAAAAAGAAATAAATACAAAAAAACCTTCACAGTACAAAACTTAAAACATCCAAATATGGAGGGAAACCAAAAAAATACAAATATGTAAGTCAATCAGTCAATTGAATTTTGAAGATAATTGAGACTAACTTGCAACTTTATGTTGACGAGAATAGAATAAGTTTATTACAATTTAGTTTTTTGGACAATTCCATTAAAATTTCCCAAAACCGCTGCAACTCTTGTGAACCAAGATCTACAGTAGATACAACAATGAAAACATCGGAACACTGAAGTCCGGTGCGTCCCAGGGACATGAATGACTGTCTTGGATCCCGCAACGAAATAAATCAGAAGATATTATTTGAGGAGAAGAAATACCGAAATAGTTTCCACTTCGTTCGGTAAATTAAATCCAGGAGACAGATTTTTTTTTAAAGTAAAAGTGAGAATCTATAGAAATGAAGACCGGATGAGGGACTAACACATTTGGCAGAGATATTAATACATTTGTCACCACCCGCTACTCCTCGGGTGGGTGTATAAGACCCTACTAGAGCGTACTTATGTATTACCGAATTCTGAACCTTTTAAATTGGGATATGGCAAAATCCATGAAATACATTTCATATGACATAAAATCTTATGTAGAGGACAACCAAGTTACACTAAGATTATAAGAAAACTTTCTTTATTTCAATAATATTTTAAAACATTCTCAGTTGTAAGTTCTAAATAAATGTTCTACTAAAAATGAACATCTCAATTATCTTCAAAATACATTATTTCAAACAAAAAAATGTCACTACAAAAATAAAATTTTTAGTACTTATAAAAAAGCTGCCTAAAAAGTTTGGTAGGTATAAAAAATATTCACTAACATGTAAAAAGTCTTACAATTGGATGGAATATTGTAATATCATACGAATTTCGTCCAAATATTCTCCGGTAAACACACACAGGCACGTCGAAACACAATGCAAGCGTTGTTCCACGCCAATATTGTGAGGCCGTGATATCACTCCAGTCGGATTATGGATTTTGGAGTTTCTCGCGGGTTATCAATTCGAATCTACATTTTTGAACGAGTACCTAACATCACTGACCGACTATTATTCTATTTCTTTTAATTCGTTTCAAAAGTTTAGTTGTTTTATCAGTTATTGACTTTGATTAGGTACTACATGCTACATACATAGCTATGGCAAATTTTAAAGGTTATAAAAAAATGCATGATTGGTAAACTTAGAATATTTGGACATTTTGAACTTTAAATTATATGGAATTGGATACATAATGCTGTATTTCTTTTAATTGTAATGATGATGATGATGATGTGTGACGTATTACCATTTGAAAACTTGAACTTAAAATTTTATATTTCATAGTACAATTTTCAAATGTTGTAAGTACCTACATAATAACTAAAAACACGCCTTTCTATATTATATTATTTGTATCACAAGAAATGGACATTTGTAATGAGTCCAAACTCAATGTTTACGAGCAGGTAACCCAAGGTTTAGTCACCTTATATTGTATTGTCATCTAGTCTACATACAGTTGGGTAGTTTCCTAAGTCGAAAATAAATTATTTATAATAAAATATTGAAAAATAACTACTTATACTTTTATTAATCGATCTGCCCATATACCAAAATTTTTGCTTATTTTTTAACTCATTTTTAAGAAATAAGTAAGCTATTTGACTCCTTAATACTATGACGTCATAAGTCATGGAGTTTCATACAAATTTCATAGAAAAGTATAGTATTGAATTTGACTAGTTGGAAACTACCGAATTACCAAATTTTATAAAGATAAAACAATTACAACTGTGTGTAGTTTGGACTCTTAGATTTCGTTATATTTGACGTTAGGTCGGGACGACCTTAAAAAGCGTGTTAAAGTTGAAAGACGTTTAACAAAAAACATTGTAAATGGCGTAAAGATTTTACGAGGGTTTTTCTTTGCTAAAATGTTTCCAATCCATATAAAATTAAAGTCCATGGAATGTAAAATTTCAGATCATTAAATTACATAGACAAACACAAAAATCTACAAATCTATATCTAATTCTATGTTAGTAGAGTTAATCTTAATATTACTTTATATATAATAATATCAATTTAGAATACGCCTTAAAACATAATAATTGTTACAAAAATAATACAAAAACCGATTTATACACAAAAACTTTTAAACTAAGCATGTAAATACATAAGTATAAGGTAATCTATTTTGTAGTAATCATGATAAATAATGAAAAACGTATCTAAGACACCACTCTAAATGATTTTATACTGTATATCGACTGTTATAAGACTCAATTCTGTAAAAAAGGAAAATAAATACTACGTTTTCCAATATTGTAATAGTAACTATCGTAGGATCTACTATATTTATGTAAAATTACGATTTAATCACGTAAAGTAACTTAGAAAAGCTCTACTAGATACAAATCACAACGGGACTCTTTGGATCATGATCTACGGGATTTATATCATTTTTAAGTGTTTAATGAATCCAACCTACTCTTAGTACAGCTCTCGCCAAACTTTGTGGCCGCCCTGAATATAGTCGCGAGTCGCAACTTGGGCATGGTACAGTCGAGTGGGCAATAAATACGTAATCAACCAGTATTAAAAATATTAAAACGAAAATTGTTTGTATACGCAAGTTCGGACTCGCGACTATATTCAGGGCGGTCACAAAGTTTGGCGCGGGCTGTAGATAGTCAGCTACACAACGTCGTCGCAACTCGCTAGTTAAGGATAAGAGTCCCGTTATCAATTTAAACTAGTAGAGCTTTTCCCGAGTTAATTCACGTTAGTTGTTAAGTTGTTATTTTCAATGTTGAGTATAATAAAATGTTATCAACACTATACTTATCAAATACGTTTAACGTCAGTTGGGTCTTGACAATATATATACTTCTTCTATCTTTGGACTCTCCCATAATGTGAAAATTACTACAAAATAGATTACTTTTTATATCGTAGTTGATGTTAAAGAGGCAGATATAAAAACTAGAAAGCTGTCAGATCTATTAGGTAAGCAGAGTTTTTCAGTATGTAAAAAATAACTTAGACCTGTCAAAAGTAGGAACAAGTTTCGTCTGATATTTTTAAAGGACCAAGTCTTAAGTATGAAATTTATATAATTAGGTACACGAATATTTTAAACGTGAGTCTAGCTTTTTTTCGATAATACGGATCAAGATTACACGATGGTAATCAGCGCCGCCCATATACAGCCGCAACGAAGGAGTTACGAGGGCGTTGCCGACCTTTTAAGAATTAGGGAGGGGAAGGATTGGGCCTCCGGTACCTTCACTCACAAGGCGAAACACAACGCTGTGGTTGTTTCACGCCGGTTTTCTGTGAGGACGTGGTATCACTCCGGTTGAGCCGACGCTCTCGTGCCGAAGCACGGCTCTCTACTTGTAATACCCAAATTAAACAGACAGGTCAAGCTAAATTGTACATACTGCGATTTGATTATAAGCTTAATTAAGGTGAAATACACATTACATTATGAAGAAAATGGCTATAGTAAAACATACATATTTAAGATACAAATTGTATGATAAAAAACTGTAAATCGAAAAGCTTATAAAAATGGCATTTGGTTGCGTAATCCTTATTTTTTAATGTTTATTTATGAATGGTAAAAATCAAAAAGACAATTTAATATTAATAAAAGGGCAAAGACAGACGTTTAGGTTTTTATTTTCATACTCCTTTGCGAGATTAACTGCATAATTAACGTGGTAGCTGGGCAATCGGCTACCGAGTTACATGTCGTGGATCCGATTCCAGCATGGAACAACTCTTTATGTGATACACAAATTGTTGTTCAGGTCTGAGTGTAATGTGTATGTGAAATATTGTATGATTGTAAACGCGCCCATAACATAGGACGAAGTCCTAAAGCAATAGAGATAGGTATTATTGTAAATTAAGAAACAATTTAGAATAATTTTGGAATACCCAGATCCAGTCAGTCTTATTTGAATACTAAGAGTCCTGAATCATATCAGAAATTTAATTTATTAATATTTAATTGTCTTCTTGTACTTTACGAGATTTTAAAAGCAATGCGATGCCACATTTTAACTATTGGTTAATAGACGGAGAATTTAAATATTGCTTTTATAGACAGCGATCTCCAAGTCGGTTGGCAACCGTGGAGATTATCGACCCCTCTTATGTAGTGGAGGTCTAATGTAGGTTGATATCTTTAAACAACTTTAAAATGGTAACACCACATTGCCACATACCTACAAATCCTTATACATTTAAGTTTTCATATAAAAAAATATTATAAAAATACACACGAATATCAATCACCAGGTACTAAAACTATCAATATTTTATTGTTTTTATTTTTTATTGTATTGATAATTTTATTTATCAATTTGTCTAGTACGAAAAAATATTGGAGTCAAAAATTTCGTTTCGATTACCCATTTGTAAGAGCTGATTTTTCAATCGTTAGATAAAAGTTATCTGGGGAATAATTATGATGTTGTCGCGTCAGAATATAGTATAAGACAGTGATAGCAACAACTCTATTCGTCAGATAACATTTACTTTTCTGATTATTGAAAAATCAGTCCCCAATGAGTTATATTATAAAGAATATAGTGTTTATTTCGAGAAAAATATCTCTGTTCTTAAACTGGGATGTTTTGAGAATGTCCAAGGTGACAAATGAATGTCCTGTGGAGCCTATTATTTACTTTTCAAGTAGATTCCTACTACTTACTACCTCATATATACTAATATTATAAAGAAGAAAAATTTCATCATTATGTTTGATTGAATTGAATAGGCTCCGAAACTATATGAATGATTTGAACAATTATTTCACTGGGCACAGCTACATAGTTAGTTATAAATATTATATTTATGTTTTGAGAGAATGTCACTATTCTTAAACTGGGTTATTTTCGAAATGTTTACAATTAACTTTTTCTTATTATAAAAGATTTAAGTAATATCATTTCTAAATTCATAATGAGTTCTTATTTCATTTTATAATCTGCACAAAGTTTGGCAATATTGCTATAAAAAAACTGCGTATTATGAGATTCAAATTAACTTCTCACTCACAAAGTCACAATTAAACTCGAAAGGAATAAACAAGGATGCACAATACAATGTTAAACCCATTTTCACGAGTTAATCCCCATGTAATTATTAGCAAGCCTATATAAATGAGAGTTCATTAGGCCAAAATCATTATTACTTTTATAAATTCATTAATTAATACTTTTCGAATTTATAACACACATTTTTTTGCAATACATAGAATGTTTCAATGAATAATACTACAAGGGGGCGTAGCTGCATATAATAGGTCTTTACCTATGAAATTGCCGTTCTGCAGTACTGGCCATTTCAAATCAAAATAGTTTTTGTTAGGGTAAGGCTAATTTATTTTGTTTTAAAAAAATGGGATTCTTTTTCCAAAAGTAGTCATTTGTTTGTTGATTAGTGTTACATTTTCATCGCATTTCAAATCAAAAAATTCGTTTAAATTTTTTCATGCAGCATATAGCCATAGCCATGCTAGAGGCCCGTATTCATGAGCAGCATTCCGACGTCGCTGCCGACACCACGGCTAGAAGAAAGTGCGCGTGAATCGCGGCAGAGGGCGCGTTAGGCGCGCAGACTCGACTCGCGGAATGCTACTCATGAATATGGGCCTCTAGCATGGCTTGAAACTATTCGAGTATCTCGTCAAATTATTACGTGAGTAAGCCGAAAACATACTAATTAATTTAGAATGTCTCACGAAAGTTATAATAAAAACCTTGAACTTGATATAGAGGCCGTATAACCATTCGACAATTCCTTATCTAAGCAGATCATTACAGAAACAATTTTGACCTCTTATTTCCACTTCCTGTGTTAATAATAATAATTGTATAAAACATATAGATATGTGTAAAGATAAAGGATATGTTGTATGTTCGTTTTTGTACCTGATCCGTATACTAACGGGTCTGGTCGGAGGCCCGGGTAATTAATATCTGGCATTGGCGATTCTGAAATGAAGAAATTTAAGGAGTTAATAAGATTTAGTGTTAAAATGGTACATTTTATGACTTGAAGCGATATGGTTTATGGTACACGTTTGATTGGAACTCTTTAAAAATCTCACTTTTTTATTCTAGGGATCGATCCTGATATTTGATTGTTTTTAGTAAACCGTTCTTAGAGGCATTTGAAAGGTTTATTTAAATTTATTCCTTAGCTTATATGGAATAGGGTGCAAATCAGCAGGAAACCTGATGGTAAGTGATCATCGCTGCCCATGCCATGGTCACACATAACTCCAGAGGAGTAACAGGCGCGTTTCCGGCCTTTTAAGAGGACACTCGCTTCTAGATGTTTTGAAGGTCGTTGCGGTTCGGAAATACCAGCGCCAAAAGATCATACTAAAGTTTTGATGTTCGAGGCAGAAAGGAACGACTATTTCCGTAGACCGAAAAATTGCTAGGGACTAGGTTAGATGTTTAATCATTAAGACTCTTGAGTAGTCAAAGTCATTTATTTCAATTAGGCCACAGTGGGTACTTTTAAACGGTAAGTACGGCGATTTGTCTTAAGATTACGATGAAATCAAGCACGAGTGCATAAAAAAGTATTTGAAGGATCGGTCCACTAGTGTACTCGCACGGCGAAACAAGGCAAGCCCATAATTATTCTGTGAGGCCGTGGTATCACTTCGATCATGACCATGCCTATATGGCGAAGCATGACTTTCATTTAACATTCACAATAAAAGCTAAGCCATTCGCTACACAGATAAACAAATACAAAATAATCATATCTAAAAAAGTCAAAAACAAAATATATTAATATAACATTGCCGATCAACAACGTCCTTTTTAAGATAATTTCAAGGCAAAAAACATGCAAAAAAATTCTCAAAAGAAGCAAAACTTACCGTCTTCCAGCATAAACAGCGTATACAGCGAACATCGACAGAATAGTCGCTATAGATGGCGTGACACTCGCCGCGCCACCGTACCGGGCCGTGCCACAAGCCGGCGGGCACACCGGGATTATAGACTCTACAGACAAAGATTTGATGGTAACATGCGACGATAATAGCTTGGCATGCGGTAAAAAATTGCTTTCTCATAGTATTTTTTTTTTATTCTTATAACAGGTCTTTATATAAATAAGTCTGGATTGGTTTTATTCTGATTATAAATTGAGTATGGTTAGTTTAAATTATCCCATTTAACTTGTTTTTTTTATGTATTCTTTACATTACAATACGGTAGTTTCCAACTAGTCAAATTCAATACTTTTTTTAATTATCCGAATGTCAAAAAACGATATTTTTCTATGAAATTTGTATGAAACACTGAGTTATGACGTCATAGTATTTTTGCGTCAAATAGTTTACTTATTTCTTAAAAATGAGGTAAAAAATATCTAAAATTTAGTGTATCGACAGATCGATGATTAAAAGTACGTATAGTTTTTTTTTCAATATTATATTGCAACGTAGAAATAATTTATGTTTGACCTAGGAAACTACCCAATTGTAAATCGGAGGACTTAATGCTAGAAGCATATCTGCCAACCATCCTTTATTATTTCTCGAAACAAATTCTTAGTACAATAATAGTTATAGTGGGAAAATTCGCTCCCCCCCTCCCCCCCGATTTCCAAAGTAGAAATTCGAATTTAGAAAATGAAGCTTCAAAAAAAGAATATTATCAAAAAGCAACTTTATGGTACATACATACATTCACAAACAAAATTATTATAATTATCCATTTTTAAAATATCTAAAAACTCATTCACTATTTAGATCTTAATAAAATTTTAATTTAATAACATGAGAATAGGGATGATGACATCTATACCTAGTAATATAAGGTTTAAACAAACAAACTCTGCAGAATTTGTTTGTCTGAACGCGCTATTCTACGAAACTGCTAGTTCGAACTGAACAATTATTTTTGTGTTGGATATTACATTTATCGAGGAAGGTTATATTTCACTACGACAAGAAACATGTGAAACCGCGTGAAAGTTTTTAGTTACTCAATAAATTTATATAAGTATTGGCACAATATTTCGAAAGTGTCAAAAAAATAACTTGTTTTAGTGTTATGAATTAATATCCAAGATGGCCTTTAAAATAAAAAATAATTCATCATCCTTATTCAAAAATATTTTAACAACTAAATACAAAACAATCAGAGCTTGCTTCACCACTCATAAGTATCATATATAAAAAATTATATTGCAAATAATTTACCTATATATTAATATTTAAATTTAATATTTAACTACAAAATAGTGGCTCTCAAGACTTAATGAAACAGGCCCTTATTTGAAGAAAAAAAGAACAACATACAAAAATGCTTTTCAATTCTGTAAAAGCAAGCATTATGAAGACAAAATATATAAAAAATATTGGCAAGCTAAAATGTATTGTTTTATTGGACGGAAAGGACATCATCCACTTTGGTCCAAATGTCAAAAACGCCAATAAAAAAATATATGACACCAAAGCTGTAACACTAATATAATTGGTAGTATTTATGTTTAAAAAAACCTGATTTTGACGTGACAACGTCTTATAAATTGGTTTGCCGGGTGACACTTCAAGAAACTGCGTTACGCTTCGCTCAAGTTATGCGCTCACAATGAGAGCGAGTGAGAGGCACGCGTCCCTTTCACTCGGGCATGGTTAGCCCGCCTAAGAGCGAGAGAGACAGAAAGGCACGCGTCCCTTCCTCTCGAGCACAGATAGCATGCCTAAGAGCGAGAGAGACAGAGCGAGAGAGAGAGAGAGAGAGAGAGAGAGAGATAGGCATACACACCGGTTCATGTCTTGCGCTTCTATTTATTATACACGTTTTTATATACACGTTGCCAGTTAATTGTAAAACAATTAAAAGTCGTTGTCACGTAAAACTTTCGCCCGTATACCGACTTTACAGGCAACCAATTTTTTCGTTAATTTTTCAATCAAATAAATTACCAAAAACAATGAGATGACTTCATTTGTTTCGGTTAGTAGTTTACTCGAAGAGGATGAAAGTCGGAATTTTAGAATTCAAATTATACCAAGTATAGTAATGTTACAGTTTTGGAACAAATTCTAGAGCGGAAAATTTCTATTAGAATAAAACACTTTTTTTATTTGGCCGGCACTTTTACTTTTGGACCAAAATTGTATGAAATGTGTCTGACAGTATTTACAAATAGGGGCCGAATTCTGTTTAAAAAAATTTTATTCATAACAACTCTATCTTGGGAATAAAAAAACAACAAAAAGAGAATTTTAATCAAAAATTGTCTAGGCTTTGTTGAGCTATGCGCTGACCAATACATTTAGCTAAAAATTGTCTGTATATCTGTCATTTTGTTTCGGAATAATCTTTGGAATGGGCCGGACAGACAATGAGTGTTATATTTGTGAATGTACTGTATAATAATCATAATAATTATATCTATTATGTATGTATTAAATTGTACTCACCGACTAATTCGACTTGTCCTTCATCAGTTCCCAGTTTGTTCTGAGCCTTGCATTTGAAGATACCGTATTGACGTTTTTCTATAGTAATGACTCTTATTGTCGTGTCAGTGAATTCGTCCGCAGTCGCGAAGTGAGAGATCCTGTGGAAGAAAAAGTGTTTTAAGTGGTGAAGAGCCATGCTTCGGCACAAGTGGGTCAGCTCGAGCGGAGTGATACCACGGCCTCAAAGAAAACCGGCGTGAAATAACCAAAAAGTTGTGTTTCGCCGTGCGAGTGAGGTTACCGGAGACCCAATCCTTCCCCTCCAATCTCCAAATCCCTAATCCCCGTAACTCCTCCGTTGTTGCGGGTGTACATGGGCGGCAATCAGTGTTCTCATTTGCCGACATATCACATAAAAAAATATGACGATGCGGAGACAGTTCTAACTATATAAAAATAAAAAACATTTCCACTTGTAATGATAATGATTTTTGAATCGGAATGTTTAAGAGTGTTTCTTTGAAAATTCAAGTATTATGAAACAAGTTATATGAAAAACTAGTAAATATTGTAACTTATCAAATGTATAAAAGACCGGCAAAATGCCTGTGAATCCTCTGGTGCCGCAGGTCCGGTGCATATCGGCGGCGCCAATTGCATACTATCAGGTAATCCGACCGCTCGTTAGATGGAAAACTAGTAAATATATTAATCATTTACCTGTAATGCTGGTTATTGGAGAGTTGTACTTCATCCTTCAGCCAAGTTATAGCCGGTGGAGGGTAAGCTTCCACGTGGCATTCCAAGTCCATGTCGTATTGGAGAGCCTGGAACATGAATTTAATAATTTCAGTATGTTACCTTACCAATTTTCTTATTATTATATTACATGGCTAAGCCTTGCCTTTGTTGGGCCCCATCTGTGGTGGTATATTGACGTTGAAAAATCCTATACTTTTAAGAAATGTTTTTAATACTTTATTGACATTGAAATTCTTATTGTGAGTAATAATTCAATTTTCGAAATAGAATGAATGAAAATGTCTTAGTTATGGTATGAACGGCGTAAAATACTAATTCCATCTAGTATGTAGTTATTTTGAAATTAGAACAGAATTTAAATAATCTTTAAAAAATACTTTTCATAAACAACGGTTGTGAATTTGTGATAATCGCGAGAGTAACATATTTCCCAATAATAAAACTATTCAAATACATATGACACACCCAGACCCGGAATAACAATTTGTGGATTACCTATACAAATAGTTATTCCAGGCCGCAAAATGTCATGTCTCTATATTAGATTTTCTTCAACATCTTTAATCAACAGACATAGGCTTATTGAAACTTTCTTATATGTATAGATAACTCAGTTTAACCATTAAAATTACTACACTAAACAGTAAAAAACCTTAAAAAGGTTGGAAAATAAAACCAACCTGAGCCAATCGGGGCCTTGGCACGGTGACTACAGGAGCAAACTCGACCTCCAAGTTGATATTCCTTCTCGCTCCTTTTCCAACTCCATTTTCGGCTACACAGTAGTAAGTACCTCTGTCCTCCTTGTGTACAGCTGCTATTTTAAGAATGTTGCCTCTGAAATGTGGAAATGACTCATTATAAGAGTTTCCATAAATAATATATAAACTTTCAAGTCCAAAACCTTGGATACTACTTAAGCAATTGGGTAGTTTTCTCTTTCAAAAGTTAATTCGAAGTTTCATTATAATATATTTTGAAAAAGAACTACAATCTTATTCATCGCACTGTCAATACACTAAATTTCCGACTTTTTAATCTTTTTTAAAAAAATAATTAAGCTGTTTGACTCAAACATACTATGACGTCTTAATTTGGAGTTTCATACAAATCTCATAGAAAAGTATCATTATTGTCATTTGGATATAAGTATTGAATTTGACTAGTTGAAAACTACCGTATTGTTCTAAATACTTACCAAAGTAGGTAAATTTAGTTTGAAATTGCGCAGTCGCCTTAAGTGTAGTGTGTAGTATAAATGGTCATTCCTTATCCATATGAGAAAAACCATTTGTTTGAAAGCAGGTAATTTCCGGGGTCGCGGAATATTATTTCCAAGCGAAAATTGGCCCTAATGGACTTCCTGATGGTTTTTAGGTTGAGCGTGAAACACGACAAAGGTCTTTTTTGTGAGGGGAAAATAATTAATTTTCTCCCCCCGTTTTAATAAAGAATACAACAGTATTTAAAACAATTCTATTGGCGAATAACCGGTGTTTAGGTATCCTACATAATGTTGAATAAAACTTACCGGTAGATGGAGCCACCAGTAGGCAGGATGGCGTTGTTCTCACGACGCCAAGAGATCTTCGGGGGCGGGAATCCACCAGCGTAGCACTCCATTTGAACGCCTGTACGAAAAGAAATAGATATGTATATACGTAGTAATCAGCTGCTTAAAAAGCTGTGAATTTGGCCATGAATTGTCGAATGGTAGAATATATTCTTCTAAACCATATTATTAATAGCGTTTTTCTTTCCGTGGATGTCTTGTCTCTCTTAAAGACAACTAACCCAGGAGAAGCATTTATCACTACCAACACCCTTACCTTAACTACTAGAAACTAAGGATACTAAGGGGACTACACATTTAAAAAGACCGGGGCAAAACGAAGATTTATCGTATGGTGACGCGTGCCACAGAGAGTCATGCTTCGGCACGAATGGGTCGGCTCGACCGGAGTGATACCACGGCCTCACAAAAAACGAGTGTGAAACAACCACAGCGTTGTGTTTCGCCGTGTGAGTGAGGTTAACGACGGCTCAATCTCTACCCCTCCCCTATCCCTTTTTACATCCTTAAATAACCGCAACCCTTATCCCCACACGACAAGGCAACGCCGTCGTAACTCCTTTAGCGTTGCGGGTTGCGAGTCCATGGGCGGAGCCGAGTGCTTACCATCCGGTAATCCATCTGCTCGTTTGCCGACTTATCCCATTAAAAAAAACCAACTCTTCTCTTCCAGCGGGTGTCAGACAACGCACCAAGATGAGTTTATTTGATGATGACAACGTCACAATACTCACTTTCTCCTTCGCTAGCGACGAGGGACCGGGTAGAGTTGTCGGAGATGATGGGGGGTCGTCGCACTTGGAGCTCAACTTCCGCAGTGATCTTGTTACTGATTGACATCAGCACTTGGCACTGGTACCAGCCTGCGTCGTTTTCTTGTATGTCCTTGATCTGTTGATAAAAAAATATTAATTACTAGCTACTCTCACGCGGTTTCACCCGCTGCTCGGCTCCATTTGGTCGTAGCGTGATGTTTTATAGCCTATAGCAGTCGGGAACATTGTAGCTATCTATCAGTGAAAGAATTTTGGCAATCTGGTCAGCGGTTCCAAAGATCACCCCCTACATACAAACTTACAAATTTTACCTCTTTATAATATTTAGTGCGTGCGACTTTGCTCTAAGTAAGCAACGTCAGATAACTCAAACTCGTTACTTTAAAAAAATAGATATGTTACAGCTAATTCTAAGACCTTCTTCTCTAAGAAGTTTACAATCAATCAATCAACTGATAAGTCAGTGTACAAAGTCATTTTTAAACTTAACAAATCCAGAAGTCAGTCTCGTTTAGTCTATAAAATTAGTGATCTGTCTTGTCTCTTTCATAATCCGCGAACTCAGGATCTCTCTTTAAAACTCAACAATACCCAGAAAAAAGGTTCTTTAAAAGTGTACAAACTCAGAGTTCAGTCTCTTTTAAGTCCACAAACTCAGAATCATCGTAAAATAAATTAAAACATGCTTACCGAAAGTGTAAACGTAGCAGTAGCATCATCGTATCTGAGAGAGAAACGAGAGTCCTTGATGATGAGCCCAGCGTTCGTCGACAGAGGGATCGACTCTACCGTCTTGAAACGGTCGTATTTCACCTGCGAAGAAAGAAATTACATTAATTACCTAATTTATAACTTTAACGAAAAAAAAAACACATAAGGATTTTCTCATGTGTCGTGGGTGCGGTTACAAACATACAGTTTCACATGCACATGCCGGAACAACAATTTGTCAATTTGTGGATAACACAGAGTTGTTGCACGGTAGCCAGTTGCCCAGCCACCGCACTAACCGTGCAGTCAAACAACTAGAAAGTTGATTTGATAAAAGTTAGTAATTACTGAAAACTTGACTCAGTAAAAAAATTAATTTAAGCTTTCATTCAATTATTTTACAATGTTTAAATACACAATTTAAAATATTCGAATATTACATAATGTATAATAATTATTTTTTTAATCCCCTCTCCCATCCCAAAATGCCACTAAATGCAACGCGCTCGTAGCTCCTTGAGTGTCCATGGGCGGCGCCAATTGCTCACCATCAGGTAATCCAAAGGCCCGCTTGCCTTGGCATAAAACAAAAAAATAATGTCGTTTAAAAAAAATATGGGTGGTCGATGCATTTAAAATTAATAAGTACATCTTTATTATTGTACTTTAACACATTTCTATGTTTAAATAATCGTGAAAATAAACACACAAACAGGTTCAAACAATGTAATGACCATAAATTCATAATGACAAACATAAGACGTTAGATAATAGACGTTAATATGAAACACAATGTCCTTGATACAATCAGAATCACTACGTTGTTATTTATAGAACAATTATTTCAATATTGTAGGTATGTGAATTCCGTAGGATCTTTAAAATTTAAGTGTGGACAAGCCATGCTTTGGCACGAATGGGTCAGCTTGACCGGAGTAATACCACAGTCTAACAGAAAACGCGCGTAGCGTTCCGCGCGCTCCTCAAAGAGCCATTAGACCACCACAGATGGGGCCCTAAAGGGCTGATGTTCAGCCGGGGTTGCGGGGTAAGCGCAATGAGGCACCGCGACCTCGGCACAGAGCAGGAGAAGGAACAGGGGGGTTTTTAGTCAGTAAGAGTTTGACACTCCCTCCTGCCCGGCCCTGGGCGGGAGAAGTCATTTGATGATTTTCCCCTCACAAAAAAAAAAAGCTTAACAGAAAACCGGCGTGAAACAACCACAGCGTTGTTTCACCGTGTGAGTGAGGTTACCGGATGTCCAATCCTCAGCCAATCCCTAAATCTCCAAATAACTAATAACCCACAAGAGTCCAGCAACGCACTTTTAGTATTCCTACCTAGCCTACAATGTCGTAATATCTTCAGGGTAGTTTTTAGGGAGGTCCCATCTCTACTTTTCTAATATGGCCCATTGGTTCAGGTTCAGCGTCAGGCTGCTCGCCGTCTTCTTATAAGCTCACTAACACTAAGTATAACACAACGCACGCATTGTTTCAAGCCGGTTATTATTTATTTATTTATCATGGCTTAAAAGGTACATTTTATATTATAAAAAGTATAAAATGTCCAACAAAACTGTATGCACAGTTTGTCTGTTGGATCAGATTTCAAAAACTAACTTAATAGAACCTATAGTAAGTCAATAGGACTAACTATAGGTTCTATTAAGTTTACAATAATAATAAAATTGATAATAAATGCGATGGACGCAAATTAATATATTAGTATTATATATGTTAAGTTAAGTTAGTTATGTATGTATTATATATGTTATGTTAGTTATTGTATAAAGGAGGTAACATTATGGTCGAGTCGAGCTTAATTAATCTTGATTGGCCTCATATAAGTGAGTGAGTAATCCAGCCGGGGTTGCGGTTCAAGAGCAAAATTGTACCGCAGCTCCTGCTGGCAGCAGGAGAAGGAACGGGGTGGTTTTAGTCAGTAAGAGTCTGACACTCCCTCTAGCCCCGTCTAGAGTGAGAGAAGTCATTTGAAGATTAAAAAAAAAGCAAGTACTATAGTATCTATACTATATTATAAAGTTTTTAAGTTGGTAAGTTTGTATGTAGGGGGTAATCTTTGGAACCGTTGGTCGGATTGCTAAAATTCTTTCACTGATAGATAGCTACGATGTTCCCGAGTATAAACTATATGAACTATACAACATCACGCTACGATGAAATGGAGCCGGGCAGCGGGTGAAACCGCGCGAGAGTAGCTAGTAATTTATATGTGCTAAGGATCTCCAAAAGCTAAAGTACAATGATTGTCTCACTTCATGTAGAAAATTAATTTAAATAAATATTAGAATTTCAGTCACCATAGAAGCATTGTAGAGAGAAGTTGTGTGAACTTCAGCATTTGATTGTTATGTGAGTATCATATTCAGTTATACACCCTTTCAATATGAAACTTATATCAAAATTAATGCTGAGTCATGTCAAGTCATTTTTTTTTAAATAGACCAGCATAATGTACTTTTCAATGTCACACAACACAAATAATTATCAAAAAGTTCAACTTGTGTGTGTCAGTCTGTCAGTCTGTCCTTGAGAAGTACAAGCAAGAAGAAACTCCATGGATACCTACTTTTTTTTTAATGAGTTTCACAATTCTTTATTACATTATTTAGTCGGTTGCATTATGTGAGGACAATGTAACACTAATATTTAGTCAAAGAACCCAAAAAAGATTTTATAAGCTAGTCATAGCCCTCAAATTTGCAACGCCTGAAAAAGACTGTTATGCTGTGGCTTTTATTGAATTTAAGACCTCTAACATTACCTTAACATGTAAATAAAGACTGAATTTAAGTTTGTAATGGGCAGTTAGTGTTTTTAATGTTGCTCCACTCTAAGATTACATCCTGTGTCGAGGGTGCATTTACAAACATACAATTTCACATATACATCGCATGAAGACTCCGGACCACAATTTGTAGACAATGAGTAAGGATTTTATTTTTATTATATAATAGGTCGCCAAATGAGCAAACGGATTACCTGATGGTAAGCAATCAGCGCCGCCCATGGACACTCGCAACGGAGAAGTTACGAGTGCGTTGCCGACCTTTTAGGGATTAGGGATTTGGAGATTTAGGGATTTAGGAGGGATTGGGGGAGGGGAAGGATTGGGCCTCCGGTAACCTCACTCACACGGCGAAACACAACGCTGTGGTTATTTCACGCCGGTTTTCTGTGAGGCCGTGGTATCACTCCGGTCGAGCCGACCCATTCGTGCCGAAGCATGGCTCTCCCACACTTGGATTAATAATTTTAAAGTATCTTTATTTAATTGATTATGCATTCTTTAGTACGAACCCACTGTCCAATATGTTGCATAATTATACGACCACAAGACCAAAAGTGTGCACACTTCAAGTGTCTTTGTATTGTTTCTGTATTAAAATTTTGATAAGGCGCGCCCCCAAACGTGAAGGAATAGTTACTTAAATTCAAGACAAAGGGCGATTTAGAACATTAATTATTAAGAGGCTGAAAATGTGTTAATTAAAAATGTTCTTAAGCTATGAATGACATAAGATCTGTATTTCAAAAGTTATTTATTGTAATGTTAGTACATATTTACTCAGTTTAATATACTCAATAATTTATTCTAGAGTCGTAAGCTACATTCATTTTAGAAAACTTCAATTAATTTAATTTTCTGCTAATATAGTATTCCCGCGCGATAATCTAATTTTAAGGGGACAAAGTTGCGGGTCAAATCTAGCCTTTTGAGAATATAGTAGATTTACCCAAAATCCAGCAGTCAAGTATAGTTTTTTTCTTTTTTGTTTTCTTATAAAAAAACGTTGCCCCACACAAGGATTTTCTCCTGTGTCGTGGGTGTGTACAATTTCACATACACATCACACCCATACCCGGAACAACAATTTGTGGATCACACAAACAGTAGCTCCGTGGGGGTCGATTCCCCCACGGAACAACTGTTGCGCGGCAGCTAGTTGCCCAACCACCGCGCCAAACGTGCAGTCAACAATATATAAAGGCTTCTTATATGATGTAATAACACTTACCCATATCACAGGGAAGTCTTGAGCATAGTGCACTGAGCAATCCAAGTCAACCTGACCACCAATATCTCTGATCTGCTCCTGCGTTATATGCGATATAGTCGGCGTTCTTTGTGCTGTAGCTGGAACGAAACATAATTTTATTTATATTTCTTGAAATGAAATAGAAAACAAGGTATATAATTATCTAAGGTCTATTTGTCAATAGTCAGGAAAATGTTATCTGAGGAATTAAATTGTTGCTGTCACTGTATTATACAAACATTCTGACGCGACAGCATTGTAATTATTTTGCAGATAATTTTTATCCAACCATTTATCTAATGGCTTAGCCCAAAATTAAATAGTGTTTTAAAATTAATGTTTGCACAGCAATCACTAAGGCGTTTGAATTGCGCAGCTTATAGAATAAATATTGTCTCTAGAATCCCAATCCCTGCAAAAAAATCTCTAAATCTGATTATGCAAAGTCAAAGTAAAAATCGTTTATTCCAACTTAATAAATAGGTACCTTTGAGGTGTCAAACTAGAATAGTAGTTTGTTAGTCTGTTCATCAGTGAAGCTAAGTGCTTGTTTCAAATTGTAGATTCAAATGGAGAAAATCAAGCAAGAAACTCTAAAGTGTGGGAGAGCCATGCTTCGGCACGAATGGGTCGGCTCGACCGGAGTGATACCACGGCCTCACAGAAAACCGGCGTGAAATAACCACTGCGTTGTGTTTCGCCGTGTGAGTGAGGTTACCGGAGGCCCAATCCTTTCCCTTCCCCAATCCCTAAATCTCCAAATCCCTAATCCCTAAAAGGTCGGCAACGCACTCGTAACTCCTCCGTTGCGAGTGTCCATGGGCGGCGCTGATTGCTTACCATCAGGTAATCCGTCTGCTCGTTTGCCGACATATTACATAAACTCCATAACCACACGCATAAAGCTTCTTCTCTTTTCTTCATGGAGAAGAAAGGGAATTTGACTTTAAGGAAAATCAATAAAGCCTCTGCTCACCCTGGCCAGGGCAAGGAGTCCCAGGCTCTTACTGACTAAAAACTCCCCGCTCCCCTTAACTAACTATATAAACCATTCAATTATTTTTACAACAATACTCTAGAAGTAACTGCCACATAATTTTTTCAATATTAAATTTAAATAATTGTGGTTTTATCTTTGCTTTTTCAATTACTATTATATTATAATGTAAGAACTATTTTATGTTGCCGAAGATATAAGCTAATTAGGGACCAATGAATAAATTCTTAAAAATGTCTTTTAGTAATGAATTGTCATTTTGTTATAATGGACCAAAAAACATTGACATAGGACCAAAATATTTTACTAACTTGTAGTAGTACTTTATTGCTTTTCGGGTTATGCTGGCTTGGAGATAAAGATCACTCTCTCCAGTATTGACCAAAGCTTAGCAAGTGCCTAATACCAAGCTATTCTTACTTTCTATGATTCTGTCGGCACCACAGAGTAGGTAAAAGTCGAGGAAAACATTGTGAAACCTATAATTTCTAATTACAAGTTTATTTTTGCCAGTCTGCTAAGATACCAGTTTCATAATCTCTGTGTAAGAAGATTCCTTGTATGCAATATGCAAGTGTTATATTTAATATTTATTTTGTTAAAAGTAACAGAAGCCATGAGTGAGACAGAGAGACACCAACTCCTTAGTTGATTTTTTTTTGTCTACAAGACTCCCTTAGCATTTATTATGACAAATGAATAACAATAAAGGGCCAATACCCGCCATTTACCACCAATTTATAGTCGTACTTAAAGCCGGATCTAATCAAAATGATTAACGGGGCGACGAGTTACTTTGAATTTAGAACATTATAATAATGTACTTTTGAAACAATTGAAAGACAATAATTCTTACTTTTTTAAGATTAATTTTGAATGTAAGGAGTCTGTTTCTTAATTAAAACACGTAAAATAATAATTCTCATTCAATTTTGAAATCGGAAAGCCAATTTCGATGAGGGATAATTGCCGTAAACCGATTGATCGAACATCAAATTCTGGAGAATCAAGGATAGTAGTAATTTAATGACGCTATTTTAACTCAAATATCGACACTAAAAAGAATTAGAATCAATTACAATCACTGAGAATCAAAAAGAATATAGGGTGTGTCATCCAACAATAGCGTAAACAGTTGAAAGTGCAAAAGTTTAAAGGCGTGGATTTGTGAATATACAACTGATTACGCCATTTTAGTTTACAGAAATACTTCATTACAGTTTAAAATCATTGTTTTTACTCACCACATGTTGATATGCATAGTAATATTGATAAATAAACGTAATTTTTAAACTCCATTGTGGATACACGCATCACTACTTGATCATCAACAGAAAACTTTGATTTTTTTTTATTCCGTTTGAATGGTTTGTTCGAATATGAATGAATGAGTTAAGAATGTGTCATAGGCATAGATATTTTGGCGAGTTAAAAACTTAAAATGAAAATATTTATCTTGCAATGAAAGAGAAAGAAAATACGTATTTTTCAGAGTTAATGTTCATAAAATAATATAGTTTTTTAACTTAGTTTATTTAGCAATAAAAAAATAGTAATTACTTTCATTCATTCTTAAAGACCGAATGATAGTTGTCATGGCCACGCCTCGCTCTGACAATAGAGTACCTAAGGTGTAGAACACCAAGTAGTACAACTTTTAGAAGACAGATGTCAGTAAAATAAAATTTTAAGACAGTTAATTTTACTGAGCTAGATGGCAGTGCTATTGAAAATAACTCGTAAGTCGTAAGTCGATATTTTCGTATTTTAGGTACCTACCACTACGTAGGTCTACGTAGTTTTTCTATTCGGTTTGAGCGCATATTTTTTTATGTCAATAGTTTTTAACATAGCATGAGATTGTTTTATTCGAAAATTACACAAATTGTCACCTACTTATCGAACCAATATGTAGGTACCTATAGTTCGTTCCATAATTAGAGACAACGATTTGACATTTCGAGTGTTGTAAGTTTTTTCTATTTCATAAATAGTGAAGTCCCGCGACCGGTATTGACCGAAAGACCGAAATTAAATTCTGGACTTCGTGCATTTTGAAAGCTTTATTATTTTTAGCTACTTTCCCTGGTACCTTCCTGTGCCCATACTAACTTAGTCGGGTTAAAATCACAATGGTTTTTTTTTTTTGTGAGGGGAAAATCATCAAATGACTTCTCCCGCCCAGGGCCGGGCAGGAGGGAGTGTCAGACTCTTACTGACTAAAAACCCCCCTGTTCCTTCTCCTGCTCTGTGCCGAGGTCGCGGTGCCTCATTGCGCTTACCCCGCAACCCCGGCTGAAAAATCACAATGGTAAGGAGGCAATCGTAAAATAGTGACCCCCTTTTAGCAGCCATCAGTCCACGACGTATCGTTCATAATTACTCTTCTCTTTCCGGGAAATCTCCAACAGCTCGGCTTTCAGCATAGGTTCCTCAAATATAATGTTTTTCTTTTAGCCAGTCTTGGATTTGACATTTTTATTTTATATTATTATTACTAATTCGACTAAACTATAAAAACATCACCGCAATGTTGTTTTATTTTGCTCAGGGTTTTTTATAAAAAATGGTATCGGTATTTTATTTAAAACATCGTACTCGGGCCCATCACTGTGTTAAAAAATCTGGCCACATTATTTTGTAGTTTGACATTTGCTGTTGTCAAATTGTTGTCTTTAATTATGGAACGAACTATAGGTTGTATGTTTATGTTTAGCAAAAAATAAGTTACTATCTACTTATTCTAAAATTAAATTTAAATAAACTCTTTGAACCAGTCTTTGAGCTTTTGTTTTTCAATTCTATAACTAGTTCATCTTAACGTGTGCCATCGTGACAATATCGTGGACTCATTGACTCAACTGGATTGTCTTTATTTTTTGGTAAATGATAATTTTGTGTTGGTAATATTTTTTTTTATGTTATAGGTCGGCAAACGAGCAGACGGATTACGTGATGGTAAGCAATCAGCGCCGCCCATGGACACCCCCAACGGAGGAGTTACGAGTGCGTTGCCGACCTTTTAGGGATTAGGGATTTGGAGATTTAGGAACTGTCAATAAACTTTTTTCTTTCTTTCTTTCTTTCTTTCTTTCTTTCTTTCTTTCTTTCTTTCTTTCTTTCTTTCTTTCTTTCTTTCTTTCTTTCTTTCTTTCTTTCTTTCTTTCTTTCTTTCTTTCTTTCTTTCTTTCTTTCTTTCTTTCTTTCTTTCTTTCTTTCTTTCTTTCTTTCTTTCTTTCTTTCTTTCTTTCTTTCTTTCTTTCTTTCTTTCTTTCTTTCTTTCTTTCTTTCTTTCTTTCTTTCTTTCTTTCTTTCTTTCTTTCTTTCTTTCTTTCTTTCTTTCCTTCTTTCCTTCTTTCTTTCTTTCTTTCTTTCTTTCTTTCTTTCTTTCTTTCTTTCTTTCTTTCTTTGGGCCTCCGGTAACCTCACTCACACGGCGAAACACAACACTGTGGTTGTTTCACGCCGGTTTTCTGTGAGGCCGAGGTATCGCTCCGGTCGAGCCGACCTATTCGTGCCGAAGCATGGCTCTCCCACACTTAGAACTTATAATTTTAGTTGCTTGCTAACTTGCTTATGGATATAGTATATTTTTTTTGTTTTCGTAATTTTTGACTTGAAAGTTTGTAATAAAACCTGTGCTACTTAAAGGTTCTCGGAGATTGAATGGATCTAATTTCTTTGTTATGTGTCGGATTACCTGAAGCCTCAGCCGCCATCACTCAGGTCGACCTGACCCATTCGTGCCGAAGCAAGGCTGTCCCACACTTAAAATGAGCAACATGAAACTCAACGTGAAAGAAAGAAAGAGAGAAAGAAAAAAAAAAGTTTATTGACACAAACCATGTGCACACAGACATAGTAACAAAAAGGTTATTTAATATTAAAGAAAAAATAAAGAAAACTACATAACTGTGTGCCTCACGGCTGCGCCAAACAGGTCCAGTTCAGCATAAATGCCAGACCACTTGGGCCTGACGCTGGTTTTCAGCTGGACCTTTGTGCATGACGTGCTACGGATGTAAACCATCTTTACCATAAACATTAAAAATGTAGGTAGATACATAATCAATAAAAAAAGAAAATAGCTGCAATGGGGGTAGATATATAAATAAAATAAAAAGGAAGCGTGTACTAAATTGTAGTGAAGGTAACGTGAACTTATATGTAAAAAATACTTGTGACAGGTCAAAAGTGCCTTCACCCCTGACCAGCCCTATGTGAAGTTAATGTGATATTTACAAGATAAATAGGTAATGTTTACTAATAGCTAGTCGAACCACTATTTTATCCGCTGCTCGGCTCCTATTAGTCATCATCGCGTGATGTTTTATGCTACTAGCGAGCCGCTCCGGCTTCGCACGGGTGTAGGTAATGCTTTTTTTAAACTTCTCCACTATTTTGGTATCTTACCAATACCATCTATACCTTCCTATTCAATCAGTCTATCTATTAAAAATACGATCTAGCTGGGCCCTACACCACGTTTGCCCAACAGTCATCGGTTCTTCGACAAAATGTGACCTGCCTACTGTCAGTTTGCTAATCCTTTGGCCTATGTCGACAACCTTAGTTCTCTGTCGGATCACCTCTAGCGCCAAATATCTAAGAACAAATTTAAAAACAAACAAACATAAGTACTCTTGTCCTATTATATTGGTAATTTAGTATAGGTTTATGTTATGCATTGCTATTGACAATTATCGTATGACTGATTTTAATTAATGTGAACTTGAACTTGACATTTAAGATAACATAAAACATGTTTACGTCAACATCGAGAGCCCGCCATACTTCGCTGTTGGTGTATGGGCCTTCTCTCTCTATATATATATATATATATACACATTTACCCGTTTTTTTTTTTGAGGTATCACAGATGGACGTGCCAAGATGGCGGATCAACACAATAATGTATCGAAAGAAGAAGAAAGAAATAAAGAAAAAACATTTATTTGAGACAAAAAACAATTACAATTACCTTTTATATATAGGTACAAAAAGAAAAAAAAAACAAAACAACAGCAAAAAATATTAAAAAATAAAAGACATGTGCTAGGTCAAAAAGGCCACTATCTCAGCATATGCTGCGATAATTCACCAGTAGGTAAAAATACCGCAGCGCTGGTATTCTGATAGGGCCTGGTGATGCTGCTATCGCTGCTCGGAGCTGGAGGGGTACCTACCTCGGTAGTTTTTAGTCAGTAAGATTCTGACATTCCCCCTAACCCTAACCCTTATAAGGGCGTAAGAAGTCATCCGATAATCTTGCACTGACTGACTGACTGACTGACTGACTGACTGACTGACTGACTGACTGACTGACTGACTTAGTCTACCTAGTAAGTACACATGGGAATCTCCTAATAATGTGGTCATCTATACTAATATTAAAAAGAAGTAAAATTTGTAAGTTTGTATTTAGGGGGTAATCTTTAGAACCGCTGGTCGGATCTCCAAAATTCATTCACTGATAGATAGCTACAATGTTCCTAAGTGCTATAGGCTATAAAACATCACTCTACGATTAAATGGAGCCGAGCAGCGGGTGAAACCGCGCAAGAGTAGCTACTATGATTTAAACCCTGTGGAGGTACTTGTAGAAAGACCAGGTTATACCCCACTTAAAATAAAAACATAACAAGCAAAAAATCTCGTGCTTTCTGAAATCGAGTGAGATAAAATAACAAACAGATCTAAGTTTATTTATGTGTATATATTAGTATAGATAATGTTATACAATCATAATGGTACATTTATCTCGACATGAAAGTGGGCAAAGATCAGAATTTTAATAGCATTTTAATCAGATGTGATATTGATATTTTGCCTACACTCACTACTAGCAATAACTTACTCAAGTATTTTTTAGTCTCGGTATCCGGCCACTGTAAGCGTGGGTCTGTGGACGGCGAAGAGACGAAAGACTACGAGACGAAATGAGCATTTACGAGACGAACCGAAATCAAACGAGCCGAACCGAAATCTCATATGATTTCAGTTCGTCTACACGTATATATCATCCAATGACTTCTCCCGCCCAGGGTAAGGCGAGAGAGTGTCAGACTCTTACTGACTAAAAACCCCCTGTTCCGTCTCCTGCTCTGGGCTGAGGTCACGGTTCCTCATTGCACTTACCCCGCAGCCCCGGCCGAACATCAGCCCTATTGGGCCCCGACTGTGGTGGTCTATTGGCTCTTTGAGGCGCGCACGGAACGCTACGCGCCGTACGCTCGGGTCCGGTTCTGGTCGGATGGCGAGCTACCCTTTCTCGCCGTCCGCAGACCCGCGCTGTCGGTGGCCGGAGATCACCTCTCGATCCCCGACGTCCGGAATGTCGCCTCCTGCGGCTGCTGGGGATGCGAGATGGATAGTTCCCTCACGCACTCCGCCTCCTCCTTTGCGAGCATAACTGCTTCGCAGAAGGAGGAGATAGCTTCTCAGTTCCTCTCGCTATGAACCATGGCCTCGATTAAGGGCGGGCGCGAAAGGTCGCCGACGCCGATCACTTCCCTGAGAACACGGCGGTGCTCAGCCCAAGCAGGGCACTCCGCCACCGTATGCTCCACCGTGTTCTCTAGGTGGTCCTCATAATGACGACACTCGGGCGTTTCCTCCCGCTAGATCCGAAACAGGAACCTACCGAAACTAGCTAGCTAAGCTTCAGGCGGAAGGTGAGGACGCCGTGACGTCTCTCAAGCCACTCCTCAAAGAGGGGTCTTACCGCTGCTCTTATAACAGCGTGCCCGGCCCTGTCTACACGTATCTACGGATGAAAAATGTACGTATTATTCAAGGCATATGAAATACTGTGCTCATTTTTGTACCAGTTTCTTCTTCTGGATCGTGAATCAAGAAACGACCGTACTCTTTGTTAAAAGGCTGTCAACATGCCTGTAAGCCTCTGTTGCCGCAGGTGGCAATGGCAGCTTCCATTACGCGCTTACCATCAGGTGAGGAGGTATGCAGGTTTTGAGGCAAGTTTTAGGATGTCCAAATAAAACTTTCTACCAGTGCACAGCTTGGTATCTCAATACCGAGATTCTTACCTTATTTTGACTAAGATGACTGGACTATCATCTGGGCAACAGGCTGCCGTTTGAGTCCCGTTCGCGACAACTCTTTGTGAGATCCACGATTGTTATTTCGGGTCTGAATGTGACGTGTATATTTGTAAATGCACCTTCAACACAGGAGAAACTCCTAGTGTGTTATAACATTTTCTTTAAGTAAGTCAGCGCTGCTTTCTTGAGTGCTTTTCAGCGTAGGCAGAAAACTCTCAAGGGTACATGTCGCATCTGTCCTATTATTCCATGTGACATGTCGATAATATGAGTTATCTTAACATTACATAATAATATATTATTTACGCTAGCTTTCGAAGCGAGGTGTTATTCTCTGAGTGACTTCCAAAGGATTCATATGTAAGTAGATTTGTCTTTATATTTTTTTTAATTTCTTTATGTCAAACGAGTAAACGCAATACCTGATGACCAGCAATCAGGGCCGCCCATGTGCACCCGCTACAACAGAAGAGATACAAGTGCGTTGTCTTTTAGGGATTAGGGATTTGGAGATTTGAGATTGGGGAAGCTATTGAGGAGCCTCCGAAAACACAAAGCTGTGGTTGTTTCAAGCCAGTTTTCTGTGAGGCCGTGGTATCGCTCCGGTCGAGCCGACCCATTCGACTTAAATTTATTTTATTTTATTTCCCCCCCTTGCTTGGTTTTTAAAAAGTGCAGTAAAAAAGTACAGAAAGTAATCCAATCTACCCTTTATTAAAAACTAAGTTCCTGACCGCGACTTCGCCCGCAATACACTTAGGTAATTCTTTCTATTGAATCATACCTAGCGGAGCTGGAAAATAGTCAAGTTCCTCGTCAAATTACGTGAGCAAGCTGTAAACATTTATATTATATAGTGTTAATATTCGGGCTACTTCCTCTTACTTTTAAACTTTTGCGTTTCATGATAACATAATATAATAACGCGGGTATTAACGCGAAAGGCAATTATGAAAATACCTCAGAAAGCCTGACATTTAGACCTGGTTGCACAGGTCGTGGTCGCAAGCACTGCATTCGGGCGATGAATCTTGATCTACCCCCTTGTTTCCATTTTCTACCACATTAGGCAGTATCCACAGATGTGTTGACCGACTTTGAAGGAAAGCGAGGTTGTGTTATGCGAATCACTAATTTCCACGTCGATGACAATTTAAAGCCATCCCCCCGATGGTAATTGTTTGGGCATTTCTTTATTCACCTCCTCTCTCTCTCATTCGGACTATTTATCACAAAAATAACTATCCAATTCAAAACAGTAGTTCCGGAGATAAGGCGCGTTCAAATAAACAAACAAACAAACTGTTGAAAACAGTTTTACTTATAATAATAACAATAGGTTATTTAAAATTCTTAGAATATTGTGGAGACCGAGAAGATACGATGTCAGCTATGTAAGAATATTTTTTGGGATAGTCATCCATTGATTACTCCCGCGCTGAGTTGGGCGAGAGAAAGAGAGACATTGTCAGACAGAGTTCAAATTAAATTCAATGTGCAATATTTAGTGCCAGGTACAACATTATCTACAATAAAATTTAAGCGTTTGCATTTCAGATAATGTGTAAACCGCTGATAATTCGAAGTCATCATGATTCTTTGTAATAATTACGGAATTTACAATATGTAGAGTTCATATTATTATGTTTTGTAACTATGTAAGATATACATATAGTGTCAGTCTGTCGGTCAGTCCTCTTAGTGATGCTATTTGCTCGTTCCAAAGTGTAGATTCCGATGGAGACGAACGAACAAGAAACTCCATGGTTACTCTTTTTTAACCGACTTCCAAAAAGGACGGAGGTTCTCAATTCGTATTATGCTTTTTTTAAATGATGTGTTGTACTGCGACCTGGCTCGGAGTAGGTGAAGGAATGGGGGTCTTTAGTCAAAAAGAGTCTGACACTCCCTCTCGCCATATTCTAGCTAGGCGATCGAAGAAATTTTAAGATTCTAATAACTCAAAAAACAAATTGTGTAAGTGCACTATTTATTGCCAAGTACTGTAAAACTATTGTTTGTTATAAAACTTGTGACGAGATAAGCCTTGGATTATTATATTATGGTTTAATTATGTGACTTATATTATCATAAAGTATTTTTATGTAGTCGGAAAGTCCCGGAGGGGTCGATAGATTTGAGTTTTTTATTTGAAGTTTGTTCATCAAATTACTTCTCCAGCTCTGGTTGGGGTCCCGAACTTAAGTCTCAGACTCTTACTGGCTAAAAATCACCTTGTTCATGTCATGCTCAAGATCGGGGCCACCATACCATGAAGTTATGCTTGCACCCGCTGAACGAATGTCCTTTTGGGCTTATGAGTAAAGAATGAGCCTAATAGGACCCCTATCGGCCCATTTGGTAACCTCAGTCACGAAGTAAAACATAACGAAAGCTTTGTTTCATGCTGGTTTTCTGTGAGGTCATGGACATCGACGTCGACCTAGCTCGTTTATGCCGTTATGGCTCACCAACCATTGAGTGGTTCATAAAGTATGGAAGAGTCATGCTTCGGCACGAATGAGTCGGCTCGATCGGAGTCATACCACGGCTTTACAGAAAACCAGCGAGAAATAACCACAGCGTTGTGTTTCACCGTGTGAGTATGGATACCGGAGGCCCAATCTTTCCCCTCCACCAATCTCCAAACCCCTAATCCCTCGAAGGTCGTCAACGCACTCGTATCTACTCGGTTGTTGCGGGTGTCATCAAATTTATCTGCTCGTTTGCCGACCTATGGCATTCAAAAGTGGACTTAAATTGTTTACGTTTTAACTTTTCGATAAAAACAACATTTTATTTGTAGACGTTAGGTTTCAAAGATAAACTGGTATATACTTGTTATTATTATAATCACAATGTGTAATAATACAATAAGATAACAAAGCTGTGATAACAGGGAACGAGTAACGCGCACGCGTTATCAAAATAATTGTAAATAAATACTAGTTTAGTCTCCCGGTTTCACGTCACTGGAAATAACAAAAGTCAGAATTGTATATAAAAGAGTTTTAAGTGTGACAAAGTCATGCTTCGGCACCAAAGTTCGGCACTAATGGGTAGGCTCGACCGGAGTGATAGCGCGGCCTTAAAGAAAAACGGCGTGAGGCAACGCTTACGTTGCGTTTCGACGTGTGAGTGAGGTTACCGGGGGCCCCCCATCCCCTGTCCTTAAATCCCTAATAACCCACGAGAGGCCGGTAATGCACTCGTAATAACTCCTATGACAGATACAACGAGTGTCCATGGGCGGCGCTGATTGCTTACCACCAAGCAATCCGTCTGCTCGTTTGCAAACACGAAAGAAATTAATAAAAAAATCTAGATAAAGCGGCTTAATTCGTGTCTGACTACTATAAAGTGGATCAAAATGTTTCTGGGCAATGTCTGCCGAAAGATGTCCACTGCTTTCAATCTGCCGGATCAAAGCAACCTGCTGAAGTGCTGATATTCAGCAGTGATCATTAGAAGCACTGCACGAAAAATGTGCAAAAAATTAACTATAGGTATTTTCTATTCACTGACTTACGTCATCAAATTGATCATAATAAAATTATGATGTTTTGATAACACGATCCTTAATTTTATAATTTAAAGGTAGGTACTTAATTTTAATAATGTAATACATAAGATAAAAGCTAATAAGACGTTTATTTCATTTTATTTATCGCTATAAATCTATACGAATATTATAAATAGGTAAATGAAGGGGCAATCTTTGGAACCGCTGGTCGGATTGCCAAACTTCTTTCACTGATTGATTCAGCTACAATGTTCCTGAGTGCTATAGGCTATAAAACATCACGCTACGATTAAATGGCACCGAGCAGCGGGTGAAACTGCGCGAGAGTAGTTAGTAAGATATACGTATGGGTAGACGGTTCACCATTTGTTTTTTCGAGTAGGGAAAATCATCATCAATCAAATATGGCTTCTCTCGTCTTGAGTATGGCGAGACGTTGACTGACACTACAAATCGCCCGTTCCTTCACTTGCTCCGAACCGAGGGCGCGGAACTTTATTGTGCTTGACTCGCATCCCTAGAACTTGAGCATCAGCCCTGTTTGGCTTGATTTGTTGGGGTATTTTTCTATGAGCGGAAATCAACAATTGATTTTTCTAACCCCGGGATGCGGCAATAGAGTGACAGATTCTTACTGACTAATAACTAATAGGTACGTTCTTTCTGCTAGTCGAGGGCATGACACATTGACCCGCAACCCTGGTTGAACATCAGCCCTATTGGGCTTCATTTGCGCTAGTCTTCTGGCGCTTTGAAGCGCGCGAAACACTACACGCCATACTACCTTTGCTCGCTGTGCGCAGACTCGCGCTTACGCTAGCCGAAGATCGTCGCGTGATTTAAAATAATAACTATTTATAAGAAATACTAATTCTAATGTGGGACAGTTAAGCTTCGGCAAAAATGGCTCGCGGTCGGCTCGACCGGAGTGATATCACTGCCTCACAGAATGACGTGAAACAACCTCAGCGTTGTGTTTAGCCGTGTGAGTGAGTTTACCCTCCCTCCATCCCTTTTCAATCTTTAAATATCCGAAACCCTTATCCCCAAAAGACTATCTCATAAAACAAATACTAAGGGCTCAGTTAACTAACCATAAAACAACTCGGAGTACGACGCTAAATGAATCATAAATAAGGCGACAGTCACACGTAATCTGACTTACATGACCTAGTTATGTGTAGCCAATCCTTTCCTCGTATAGTTACCATAAGCAAAGATCACGCCATGCCACCCAGCGGTTCCAAGTAACCACTAGACTTAAGTTCCTAATTGTTAATTCTCATAAAATTAATGTTTGCCAAAAGAGTTAGAGAAATGTGATCGACAGATTGCTGTTGCTGGCCAACTGTGAGGTCCAGACACAGACACACACATGTAAAAGCCCTCAAGTAGTATATAAGCTCATGTAACCTAGATTTAAGCGTTCAGATCAGTTCATTGTCATCTTAAAGCTCATGCTGAGCAGACGTGTATTAATTAAATAAATATTTTTTAATATAAATCTTGCGCGCTCTTATTTGACTGGCGCAGCCGGGTCGGATTAGCAAGTCGCGTACAAGTGATCGTTAACTAGACACGCGAATCGGTCGTAACGTAGTCCTCGTCGCATAGGCTTCAATCCGCAAAGAACCTACTAAATAAATTCGTCAAGAAGGCGCAACCTCAGCAGCAGCAGAACCAGAACCGGCATGGGATCGAGCAAACTGTGAGTAGACCCTTGATTCGCATTCTGTTCCATTCCCTGTCTGAACCTTACTAATTACCTACGTTTATTGGACTAGACATTGCCGATATTCGTCTCGTCTATTTATGGACAAAAATCGCCAAATTTAGA